ACACACACTGCCTGGAGACTAATGAGGCCCATCTCTCTGCTCCCCACAGCTTCCAAGGGTTTTCATCAATGTGGTGGAGGTCATGGAGCTGACCGGCCTGCACCAGGGCCTAGGAGGGAGATGTAGAATGCCGCTGGGAGCTCAGTAAGTACATGGTCCTGGTCCCAGGGTGAGGGCACGTTGGGGAAGCAGGGCTCACAAATGCCAATGATGAGACCGTTGTAGGCAGAGCAGACAGTCCTAGGTAGAGGGCAACTAGCCAGGCACTTGGGAAATCCTTTGGAAAGGCTCTACATTGTTGAGTGCCTACTGGATGCAAGTCACTTCATTCCTCTGGACCCCAGTTTGCTTTTCTGTAAAGTGAGACAGACAGACCCAATGATCCTTAAAGCCTCCTGACATTGTCGATGATCCCAAACTCCAACTCCAGCGAGTTGTCCCATGTTTGAGAGACAGCAGAGGGCAATGGGCTAGATCTGGCCTCAGATCCTGGCTCTACCATTTAGGAGCTGTGGGACCTTGCCCAAACTACCTAACTGTCTCTGTACCTTTTACTCCTCACCTGTAAAATCTCCTTGCCAAGTGGATGGGAGGTCTAGAGGAAATGCATGTCAAGTACTTGGCCACTGTGGGGCAGGCTCTCAGGAAATAGTAGGTTTTATAATGTCCTTGATATGACTGTCCTTGAAAGCCAGTGAAAGATGAGAATTTCTGTTGGGGGCTAGAATTTATTTAAAGCTCAGCTGTGACCCTGGCAGGAAGTTGCCAACTTCTGAGGCCAGCCAGAGGGTCTCCCAGAGTTTTGCTATCTGGGGAGGAGACTCTGTAGGGGGTTGAGGGGTCCTATCTGGGGTCAAATGGGTTTGCTGGGAAGATGACAAGCTAGTTCCCATTCTTGATAGGAACCTAGTCCCCCAGGTGGAGCAGCCCATGGCTAGGGGCTATGACAGGCTCCTCTAGCATCTGTTGGTCTTACATTTCACCTTGTCAAGGTATCTCAAGCTGATTGACCCACCCTAGCTTCTCAAGTGATTCCCTACTCTGGAGCCCTGAGAGAGACTCCCAAGCAGCTGGAGGTAGAAAAGGGAGGCCTCAGGAACATGACAGAGAAAGACTGAGCCATCATGGCAGTCTTTCCCCAACTCCAGCCCCCTGCCTACCTGGTCATTCCCTGGACAAACCCCAGAAGCCACAAGAATGGGATGGAGCAGTCAGATAGTATGGGGAATGGGCAGCCTGTCTACACAGAGACCCAGGCCTCGGGTGCCAACTCTTCCACCTTCTCTCTCAAACTCCAAGTACCTGCTGGACCTTGTGACCTTAGGTTTGGTTCTGTGACCTGGGTCCATGAGTCAGCAAGACTATATTATGGAGGCACCTGTGTGTCATCACCTTCCCATGTGAGGCAGCGCAGGGTCCAGGCCCCTGTGAGAAGCAGCTTCCTCTGGGTAGGGGGGTCAGCCTCCCAAGAGTCCAGAGCCAGGCTGCCCCCAAGGAGCTTCTCCATAGCATAGGACTCCTTGCCTTACAGGAGCGAGTGCACTTGCTTCAGAGACTCCCCCGAGAACTCCCCAGAGCTGCTAGAACTGAAGAAAGTGAACAAGGACTTTCAGGTAAACCTGCGCCCCTCCTCTTCCTGCCCCAGGTGGAGGCACCTTTACTCCAGAGCAAGGACTCCAAAGTCCAGTGTGTGTTCAGCAGGGCTTTCCTGAGAACAAGGCTGCTCCCTGAAGGGAGATCGCAGCCCCTGAAATATGTACCCAGGTGAACTGAGCACCAGGCTGGCGAGGGGAAGGGAGTGAGAATCTCAGGAGGGAAGCTGAGAGAACTCCCCCTCCCAGCCCCGGGTCTGCCCCGGGCAGGCGAGCAGCACCCAGCAGCCAGAGTAGATGTCATGTGATGGCCACCATCGCCTACCCAGAGGAGGGAGGGGTCTCTCTCCCTTCTTAAGAACATAAGGCTTAGCCCCACCTGACTATTGTCCCCTCCGCTGACACGCCCACTCTGAGCCTTCCTGCGGCTTACCCATCTCATGCTCAGGAAAGGCTGTCTCACCTCTTCTGAGCTGCTTCCCCTGAGCAAACCTCACCCTCGGACATCTCCCCACATCACCTTCCGCCCGTGCTTCCCTCACCCCGCCTGCTTCTCGTGGTTTTCTCACGTCTCATCTCACTTTCCCAGCTGGAGTAGAAGCTCCTTAAGAAGAAGCACATCTAGTCTGTCTCTTTTAGAGTCCACGTTTTGGCACTTAAATCCAAAGACTATGGGTGCTCATCCCCCCTCCCAAGTTCACAAGTATTTAGGGGAGCTGGCATTGAAATGCTCCCCATTTGAACTAGAGCCCGTGTTCTAATTCACCTCTTCGTGCAGTGAGCACAGGGGAGGCCTTTGGCCCAAGCAGTCTGCTCAGCAGCCCAGACCCAGCCTTGCAGAGACTTCAGAGTGCAATTGGGTGGTAGTCCTGCCTGCACCCTGGAGCAGCCCCTTTCAGTCCCCTTTGTCTGGGATGGGTTGACCTCCATCATGACCCACCCGAGGCAGCAGGACTAGAAGCTGTCTGTCCCAGCCAGGGGGGCTGAGCGGCCTCTCTCCCCGTCCACAGAGCGGCATCTTCCAGCTCTCTAACCAGCAGCATTACCTGGAGCGTGAGGACTTCGCGGTGGTCGTGCAGCCTTTCTTCCGAAACACTATCGTCCCCCTGAACCACGTAAGCTGCGGGCATTTCTGGGAGGCACGTGTGAAGGGGCCATATCTTAAACCATGTCTTTTCTTCTCTATGTGGGCTTTTTTTAACCCTCCCTTCTCTGAGGGCTCCTAAGAAGTGGCTTTTTCTGCTTCCCCTCCCCCCATTTTTGGAGTATGAGGGGAATCCAGGTGCATTTGGAAAGAAAAGGGGAAAGTCAGCCTTGACCGTGCTTCTGAGGCCTGGCCCTGCTATGTGCTGCACTGGGATGGAATGGAAATCTTCCTACAAATGTTATTCTTGTTCAACTACTCGGGCAGAGATGCTGAAGGAAAAAGATGGGCTGTGGGTGGCTATGATTCATGTCTGTTTAAAAAAATTAAAATTCAAAAATTGGGGAATGTCCCCATCAATATCTGGGCCAGTTGTGAGCAGAGGTGAAAGGAGAACTGCGCAGGTCACCTGCTAGGGGTGTGTGTGGGGGGTGGGGCAGGTAGCGATGCCCTTGTCCCAGGAAGCTAATCCCCTTGCCTTTGGTCACAGAGAGAAGCCGCTGACCTCACCTTCTTCTCTGAAGACTGTTTCCACTTCTCAGAACGTGGCCACGCGGAGATGGCCATCGCGCTCTGGAACAACATGGTGAGCGCCCGAGGCCTGGCGGGCTCGCGGCAGAGGGCAGCCCCGGGATGTGGGCGACAAAAGCCTGCTGGCTGGTGGAGCGCCGTCCTCCCCAGGGCTCCACAGGGCAGAGCACCTTGTTTGTCCTGACAGATCTGATCCTTTCAGTAATGCCCCAGTACGTGGGGGGATCATTTGGAAACCAGATAGGCTGGATGAAAATAGCATCTTCAGCCCCCTGACGTGTGACCTTGGGCAAATGGTCTCTCTCTGGCCATCTGTATCAACACCTGTAAAAACAGTGAAAATGACACAGATCTCAGAAATCTGAGGTGATGTGTGACCAGCACCCAGCACAGTAATTAACATTCAGCAAATATCAGCCCCATCACTCCAGTCTCAACGCATTCCCGACTATTATTTCTTAAAATGGCAAAAAGAAAAGAGCCACCCAGCCTGTTTTCCCAGGCTGCCACCTAGTCTCACCCTTTCTTAAGGTGGTAAAGGGGACCTTATGCAATGAACATATTGGCTCAGGGGCCACAGGTACCCCTGGCCTTCCCTCTGTACCCTATGCCTGGCTCCTCACTACTGGATAATCAGCTATATTTGCAGAGCTTGCCACCCCAATAGCTGTATCCTCTTGCACAGAGCAATGAAATGCCTTTCCAATCCACTGGCTTCTTTTGATCTAGTCTCAGTGGGTAACCCAATCCCCGCCCCCTCGTGCATTTTCCCTCATTTCTCCCATGGTGCCTAAACAGTCTGCACACCTGCTCTTTTACTGCAGCTTAGGCCCATGGTGTCCCTGCCAACCAGCGCTGTGCAAACATCCCCACACCTGTCAGCTCATCCAGGAGGTCCACTATCTTACCCGGCTGACTCACAATATTGACTTTCTCCTTAGCTACGCCATCTCCTCTCCTCGGAACAGCTGTAAGCAGGTTTCACCCTGGGCCTCCTCCTTCGCAGACTCAGCCTTCCTCTACCTTTGTTTTCCCCCTGTTGACGTCACATTCTGCCCACTCCTAACCCTTTCATCATACTCTAAGCCCAGGACTCTGAACCTCAATCAAAATATTCTCAAGTTCCCTCCCACCCAACCTCCACACAGTGGGTTTTTTTAAATCCAAGTTCGTATAGTCTAAAACAAAAATCTACAAAAGAAATGAATCAAAGTCCAGTTGTCCTTCAGTGGCTGAGTCATGTAGCTTCATTCCTTTTAAAACCCTTCCCCTTACCCCAAGAATGAGCTACCCCTATACTATTGTGCATAGGGGGAGCTCAACGGGATCCAGATTCCAAGAAGGGCCCAGCATGCTAAGCCCATAGCCTTTCCTTCCCAGCATTCCATCAGGGTGTGGTCTTTCTATCTGGTGGCATTCTGAGCCTGCCTAATGCCAGGAGTCTCTTGGGACTTGATGATTCAAAAATGACAGAGCCCATTGGTCTCTTTCTGCATGAATTAAGGATGTAGTTCTGGCCCCCTCTTCCAAAGCAGCTCAGTGGTCCTCCCCATTCACCCAAGTGAGAGGCTTTTTATACATAAAGGGAAGTGGAAGGGGTTTAGATGTGAAAACAAAAGGTACACACTGCCACAGAGCGCTCCTGATAGTGCTACAAGGCTACCCATGGCTCCCCACCCATCATTGTCCCAGCCATACTTCAAATTTAAAAAGCAACAACAAAAGCAAAGTAAAACTGAACTAAAATCACCTAAGACTATTTTATCCTATGCTATATAACTTGGGTAAATAATTATATAGTCCAGTGTTTTCATCCAAAACCATCTCAGATATAAAGCTATTGCACAATGCCAACTTTTCAGAGTATTTTCTTACTGGCATTTCACCCCTAGAGCAATATAGGCTCTGAGCGGTCATTTAGCCAGAATGCTCTATAACTAAAACACAGAGACATGAAGCAATTTGCCCAGGATCACACAGCCAGTTAGTGGCAGAGCAGGGGTTGGAACCCAGGTCTAATTGCCTAGTGTTCTGGATACAGCTCCACCTGGCCTTCCCACTCCCAACCAGATAAGCACATATGTATCCAGTGAATTCATGTCTCAAAATTAGAGTCCTATGACATAGTGTCTGCAGGCTTTGGCTGATGCTCCCAGGGTGCCCTACTGCAGCAGCAAGCACACTTTAAACTTTTCATCTCCTGCCCCTCCTCTCTGAACAGTTTCTGCTTCTTCCTGAGACTTGCAAAGCCAGAAATATTAGCAGTACCAGGAAATGTTTTTCTCTTCTTTTTTAGTCTTTTGTCTTCTTAGAAAGTTTTTCCATCTTTTTTTCTGATGCCTAGTCCTTCACTGCTGGCTGCTCCCTCCTGGCCAAATCCCACTCTCAACTACTATTTGCATCTATCTTCCCAGGCCCAGGGTGACAACCCAGCCCCCTGATTGGCATCCCTGTCTCCAAGCTTACAGCCCTTACAACAGCAGTTCTCAGCTCTAACTGTAGAGTAGAATCAGCCGGAGACTTTTAAAATCAGTTTATGCCAGCAACCACTTTGAACATATGGATTCCCTGTGACCCAACAATTCCACTCTTTGGTATATTCCCATCAGAAAGGAACATGTAGGTTCACCACAAAATGCAGACTTGTCACAGCAGCACTATTCATAATCCCCAAATGGGAACCTCCCCAAATGTCCACCAACAGGAAAATGGATAAACAAACTGACACACATTCATACAATGGAATACCTTACAACAATGAGAAACAAACTTCAACAACATGCAGTGATATATGTATTTCAAAAACAAGCAAATTCATATGTGGTCTTATTGGGGGTGAATTATCCTGAAGAAGGTGGCAAGGGGGCCCTGGATACTGGTAATATTCTGTTCCTTGAGCTGAATGCTGCTTACATGGCTATATTCACTTCATCATAATTATCAGCTGCTCACTTAAGATTTGTACTTGTTTCTATATGTATGTGAGCTATGTGAGCTTCATTTAAAAAGTTTACTGAAAAGAAAACAAAAATTTCTGGGCCTCGTACCCAGAAATTCTGACTTAGTCTGGGATGGCACCCAGGTGACTATTATACAGGGTTTGGAAACCATTGCCTGAGATTTACTCACCACAGGACAACCACAGTAGTCTGCAGAAATGAAAATCTGACCAAGTAACACCCTGCTTTCAAATTTCCAAGGCCCACCCTCCCTAAAGAAGAAAGGCCAGGCACAGCTGGCCTCCTGGGACTTGACCCCAGTTAACCTATTCGGCAGCTGCTCTGCCACCCTCTGGTTTGTATTTGGCAATCTAATAAGGAGTGAAATTTCCTGCACCACCCATACTGTGTCTGCCTCTCCCCTGGCTGCCCTTCCAACCTGCTGCTCCTGACTCCTACCCACCTCACCACTCAACTCTGGTGCCAGTTTCCACAGGAAGCCTTGGGTGGGCAGTCTAGGGGCCCACCCAACCCCACTGTACCCTGGCCCAGTCCTGTCATTTGGCTTTTCATTTGTGTGTTTGGCCTCAGAAAGATGGGGGAGGGGAGGAGGGAAACAAGGAGAGCACTCTCTCCAGGGAGCCAGAGAAGTGAGTGGTTTGAAAGGGAGGCATCAACTTTAACAAATGCTGCTAAAAAAGCCAAACAAGACAAAGACAAAAATAATAATAATAATAATAAGTGATCATTGGACCTGGCAATACAGAAGCCATTGGTGACTCTTACTCTGACCAGAGCTCCAGTCAAATGAGGAGACCGGAGACTGGTTGGAATGGATGTCAGAGAAGAGGAGAGACCAGGAAATACAGTCAGTCACTACAAACAACTCTTCCTAGAGTATGAGAAGTAATGGCAGAGGTCGCTGGAGGGGATGTGGGATCAAGGGGAGGGCAGTTAAAAGATGGCAGACAGAGTAGGTTATGCTCTGATAGCAAGGAATCAGTAAAAAGGGAGAAACTCATACAATCATCAAACCCAAATGATCAGTATGTTCCTCTGCACCACTTAGTTTCTGGTGCCTGGAATATCATTGGGAACCAACCAACCTGGCCTTTAGCATCCATGTGTCACTAAGTGTTTCTGTTACAATAGTGCTAAATAGAAACATATGTAATTGGCCTTGCATATGTAATTGGCCTCCTGCTCAGGCGTTGTCAGGACAGGGTTTAATGCCCTGCCCTTAACCTTGGGACACTTCAGGGAGCCAGCCTAGCCTCATACAGGTCTTTATCAGCAGAGCCAGGGCCCCAGCTGATGTGCCCACTGTGCTCTGTCCAGTCACCATGGCTTCTCTCCCAGGGTCAGAGCAGCCCTTCCTCTTCTAACCGTGTTACTAAGGAACAGGTATAAAGGCTTTAAGTCAATAAAAAACAGGATCATGAGCCAGCTGTGGTCATTAGCTGGCACAGAGTACTTTCACTTACCTCGTAGACAGTATCTAGGGGGTGAGGAACTGATGAGGTCAGGAATAGGCAAGGACACAGATGATAACGATGATGGAGGCCAGATGCTCAGGACAGTCTGAATAGGTGTTCATCCTTCTTGGAGCTGGCCACAAATCAGGGGACAGGCCACTGGCTAAAGATGCTGGGAGGAGGGGGTACAGCAGCTTCCAGCTCATTCTCAAAGGGTCCCAGTATCAAAAGTATCAAAGAACCTCTCTGAACCACAATTGCTCCCAGGAATGGTTCAAGTAAACCTTTTTATCTATGGGAAAAACATACAAAGATGCTCAAGTGAGAAAACCCAATTTCTTAAGGTTGACAAGCCGAGTGTAGTAATGGTGTCATGGTAACCAATGTGTCTTCGAAGTTTTCCTGAAATTGACTAGCCCCATGTACTTTAAAAAGTTGGTAAATATGACCATCGCCATTTGACAAACTGGAAATGCAAAGTGTCTGTGATCACAGCCGCCCACAGGGGAAGCAGGAAATGGAGGTTTGGGCCCTGACCTCCACTTGCTGTCACCTCTGGACTAGTCAGTCTCTCTTGGGCGTCAGTAAACACAGGACACAGACTCAGGGCCCACCCTGCTCTGATGGACCTGCCACTCAGTGAGCGAGAGCCAGGTCCAGCTCTGGCCCCGGAGCTGCTGATATCTGCTGTGGGTCTTGCCTCTTCGCTGGTTTCAGCCTTGCAAAGGGAGGGAGTCTGGTGTGAGCCAGAGCTTTGGAGGGAGTCAGGGTTTCCTTCTTCTCTCCCCAGCTGGAACCAGTGGGCAATAAGACAACCTCCAACAACTTCACCTACAGCCGAACCAAACTCAAGTGTCCCTCTCTTGTGAGTAAAGGTCCCACCCGTCCGTTATGGAACAGATGCCTGAGGTGGGGGTGGGGGCGATATAGCCACCTGGAGATACAAAAATCCCCAGGGTGGCTTTGGCATCGTGCTGGCCATTCACTGCTACTGTTCTCAAATCTCACCTCTCCTCATTGCCCCTGATGGAGTTCCAGCTCCTCAGAGGGTGGGAAGCCCTGGGTGAGGGGAGGGAGAAAGCAACAGGTCCCGACTGCAGTGGGGAGAGTCACTCAGGGGAGGCAGACAGTACTGGCCAGAACCTGAGTCACCCTCTACCCTGAGGGGTCTGAGTCATGCTCTGTCTTAAACAAGGCGGAGGAGCTCTCCCAGGCCAGGCAACACTGCCTTTCCCAGGCCCTTACTGCCTTCACCTGGACCACTGACAAAGTCCCGAACTTGCTCCCCAGCTCTCCTCTCTTCCCTCGCCATCCATCGCATAATCACTGCCAGACACTGAGAAGCCTACCTCGAAGTCACTCTAGTATTGTCAAGACTACTTGAAACCCTTCCCTGGTTCCCTCTGCCCATTGAAGGAAGGCACCTAGACACTATTCAATTGTCTTAGACACTCTCTGCTCCTAAAAATGAAGCAGCTTCCCAGACAAGCCCCACGATTGCCTGTGTCTGTGCTCTGCTCCTCCTGGGGGCGCAACCCCTGTCTCCACCTACAGAAAATTTTCATATCCTTCAGGCCCTATCTGGGATACTGTTATCTTACCCTACGATTCTCAAACACCTGCCTTGGCCTCTCTCTCCTGTTTACATCTCTCATAAGACACTGACAGGCTCCTTTGTGATGTGATTGTTTCTCAACGTGTCTTATCTTATCGCCTAACTGGGCAATGAGAGATGTCACATCTTAGCCCTCAGGTACTCTCACAGCTCCCCCAGCACAGGGCTCCATGCTGCAAGCACTCAGTTAGTGTTCGCTGAAAGGGAGGAAGGAATCCAGGGAGGCCGGCCAAACACCTCCTCTCCTGGCCCCTCTCAGTTCTGGTTGCATAATATGCAGAGCCAGCTGTCCTTCCACACTGACTTTCTCTGCTCCCCAGGCACCCATGGATGGGAGGATGGGGACACTTGTCCAGTAGTGACCCAGAGTTGGGGGCTCTGCCAGCTCCCAAGACTCTTCCACTGGTTACCTGTCAGTTCCCAATCTTTCAAAATCAGGGAGACAGGGAAAAGAGATACTGATGAGACACACAAGGAGGTTGTAGCTGGGCGTTGACCACTTTGGCTACTGTCCTCCAGGAGATCTGGGCACAGTGGAGAAGAAGGAGCTTTGCAGATGATAAGCTGGGAACATGTGCAAGGCTGTGGTAGCATCTCTAGGACAGGACAGAGCAAGCCTGTGGTGGGCAGATGGATGGTTTGCAGAGGCCTCTAACCCCTGACCCTCTCCTCCTCCACAGGAGAGCCCTTACCTCTTCACCCTGAAGAATAGCCAGCCGCAGAAAGAACAACAACAACAGACCGAGACCAAGAAAACTGTCGAGGCGATCAACTGGGCTGTGCCATTAGCAGCAATATGTGGCTTTTTAGTTGGCGTTTGCACGACGTTAGCATGTATAGCATGTATAAGAAGGTTCCAGAAGAAAAAGTCTAAGGACCTGGAAAGTCCAAAGTAGAGCCAGTAGGCCCACTGGCCATGTGGATGCTCATCCTAAATGCCCCGGCCGCACCATTCCTCACCAGCCCTCCACCTCCGCAGCCCCTGACCACCACAGAGAGCACCTGCTTCAACACTTGGTGACATAAGAAGCCAAAGGGACCATCATCACTTATTGAGGCCTGGGGCCTATGCTCCTGGAATTGACAAATTTAAAGGCCAAAGCTGTTCTACTCTTGGTTAACCTGCTTGGAGCTCTCGCCTTCCACCTGCGTCACTGTGCAATGCAGGTGTGGGAGCAAGAGCCTTTCGTGTTGGCGCAGCCAGAGCTGCCCAAGTGATGGCGACCAGAGCCAGACCAACCCCTGTCAGGCTCTAGCCCAGGGCCAGAGGAACAGGTCCTGTCACCAAACCTACTATTTCAAAAGTGGGGAGAACACTGATCACCAGGTGGTGACTAGAACTTGGGAGCTGGCTGGCCACCACCCAGTGCAATCCAGCACATACCTGCCCGTTGTTCTGCACCCAGGACAACGTAGAGCACTGCGGTGCCTCCGAGGTTGTGAGGTACCTGGCCCAGAAGACACACTCCTTCAAAAGACAAGAAGCTCCGTGACAGTGTGCAGTTCAGCGCAGGGGCATTGGCAGGTAAACGTGTCCGACTGCTCTCAAGACGAGGAAGAGTTCCCCTTGGCAAAGCTTCCTGGGAGAGGGCAATTTAGAAATGTCATTTTAAAAAAATTTAAAGATCGGGACATGAATACTTCACATATCCTCAACCTGATTTTTCTCAAGGGACTAAATTTGGAAAGACTTGCTCTTTCTATGTCACCAGGTTGCTGAGAGAGAGCTAGAGAGTCTGATAGCACAAGCCCCACCATGAGGGGCAAGGCCCTGGCTGGATGCCTTACCCAAATTACTCCTTTGATTCTGCACAAAAACCCAGAGAGGAGGAGATCATGGAAAGTGTTGAAAATAGAGATGGTGGTTGCAGAGCATTTTGATTGCACTAAATGCCACTGGCCTGTTCCCTTTACAATGGCTGATTGTATGTCCTGTAAATTTTACCTCAATAAAAAGCAAACAAATCCGTTGTCACCTGCATTTTATGTATCTCTCTGATCCCATAGCTGGGGATGACAAAAAATGTGAGTCAAAACCCCAGATATACCATTTGAATGTGTGGCCTTCAGAGCAAACCCCACCACCAGCCTGACCCCAGTTTTTCAGCAACCTCAGCTATAAAAGCAGACTAAGAGGACCCATTTTGCCTGCCTCAGCACCACTGGAAAACAAGAAATGTATATAAAAATGCTCTGTAACTCTACAATACTCTACACGTGAAAATGAGTTATTTTCTACTCTGTGGAGAGTTGAGATAGGGTCCAGACTCAGGGAGGTGGAGAGGTCCAGAGACAGGTGTGGGAACCAGGCAATAATGTACAGATGAAAACTGACTGCCCTCCTCCCATGAAGGTTCACCATCTTATCTCTTTGCCCAGGGGACCTAGGTCTGGTCCCAGTGTTCTGCTAGCTTCAATTCTGTTTCTGTGCAACAAGGACAGCATACCTGCTCCACTTCTTTCTAAGGACTGAAAAACTTAGTGACAGAATTATACACGTCCTAAAGAAGTGCCACATCACACCTTGTGCTCCTGGCTTACCCCAGTGTAACAACAAAGAGAGCCCACTAAATCCAAGAATTCATCCCCCCACCCCCACCTTTGCCCTCAAATTTCCATTCCTCCAATAGCTCCCACACCAAAAAGTCATAGAATTCCTAACCATGAGTTCCCTTGCTTGGTTTGAGGTTGGAATTTACACTACCTGAGTAATCCAGGAGCTCCCAGTCTGAAAAATTAACCACCACCACAAAAAAGTGGTCCCCGGCCAGAGACCAGGCAACAGGAACAAAGAGAAGTCCTCTCTGGAGGGACACAGGCCAGACCCCAAATTCCCACCAAATATGTGCTAAAAAGCCACAGTTTTAAAATATATGCGAGCACCTACTTGAACCTGGTGGTGGTATACACACATTGCTCGCACACCATGTCCCTCACCTGTAGGAAAATGTTCAGTATCATTAGCACGACACCCACAGCCACACCATGAGTGAAGCCATCAAATCCCGAGAAAGCTACAGTCCATGTTCTCGCCATAGAAGCTTTTTGAACTCAAAAGAGATTCATATGGATTTAACTTGGTCAGAAGCCTTCATAAAGAACATGGGACTTTAACTGTGCTCTGAAGGATGAGAGGTGATTTAGATAGAGGCTCAAATGGAAGGGGTTGTGGAGACTGAGAAAGCTCCATTAGGTGGAAAGATGAATGAGCATGGTGTGCATCGGGGGCAAGAAATGAGGGTGGGTGAGCCAGAGACAGCGGGTTAGGGGGACACTATGGAAAGGGCAAGGAGTTAGTAGAGATTGTGTTGTTATGACGGTCGTAACAACAGACTGCATTTGATTTGGGAGTATAAATGTTATTGGGAAAAGGGTTGTACAAAGAAAACTAGTACCAATAAGAGCTGACAGAGGGCTTACACTATGGTGCATAATAATTAAAATTTCTACATCCCTGTTACCATCCCCTTTTTACAGAGGAGAAAACCAAGCCTCAGAGAAGAGGTAACTGGCCCAGAGTTATACTTTCATTACATCATGGGACTTCATCAAAATGACGACCAGTGTCCAGGGTAGAGAAAAACCCCAACGCATAAAGCAGATGATTCCAGCAGTGAATCAGGCCAATTTTCCAACAAATGTGGTATAAAATAAAACTCCTGAAAAGGATCATACTGTCCCCACAAGGCTATGATGGCACCATGAGTTCCTCTGCTTCCAACTGGTCTGAGGAACTCAGCCACCTCTAGTTAATAAGCTCTGTTTTAAAAAATTATTGGAAGGGACTATGATTTATTCTATTAGAGTATATGTGGGGTTTTAGCAGCAGGCAAATCTTTTTTTATTTTGAATCCTCACCCAAGGGTATTTTTTTCCATTGCTTTTCAGAGAGAGTGGAAGGGAGAGAGAGAAACACCGACGTGAGAGAGACACGTTGGCTGCCTCCCGCATGCTCCCCAACAGGGGCCGGAGATCGAGCCTGCAACCGAGGTAGGTGCCCTTGGCCAGAATCAAACCCGGGACACTTCAGTCTGCAGGACGACACTCTAATCACTGAGCCAAAAAAGCTAGGGCAAACTGGCAAGCTTTCGGTGAATGGAACAATGCCTAGCCAGCTGAGTGACACCAGCCAGGGCCCAGCACACTCTTGATGAGGGAAAAGACCAGGGCCTGGGTGTGGGAAACAGAAAAGTGTCCCGGGTATGGCCATTGGCCCAACTGAGGGAGGGTTGGACTGAGTTTCCAAACTGTGTTCCAGAAGATGTTAATATATGTGTCAAGGTAAACAAAAGGGGGGCTGGGCTCAAAACATTTGGAAAACTGCTTTCAATAGCTCTCACCTGGAAATTCACATGCATATTTGCATATTAAAGGTGCTGAGAACCCCTGAAATAAAGGAACCTGTTTAACTTCATTTGATCTGCTATTTCCCATCCTTGAACACACAGCCTCCCCTCCCGCCACACTCAGAAGCACAGTAAGGAACAGTGTTCTGAGGAATGTCAGCTTGGGAAACACAGCTGTGCAAGGCTTGTGTGCCGGGGACTCCCTTGCTCTACACCTCCTGGTTCTCCCCGTATGGTCCACTGGCCCGCCTGCCCTCCCCTGTGGATTCAGACCAACCTAAACACTTGCACCTAGTTCTGTCTTGGACAGGAAGTCTAAGAACAGCCTCTGCTTTATGCAGCCTGAGTTAGCGCCAGGTTTTCTTGGTCTCTTGCCTAGACACTTTTTTTTGCCCAGACTGTTTGTTGTCAGACTTGAATCCTTAACAATTCTCCAGAATTCTGGGTCTGGGTTCTTAAAACTCAGACTCTGGGCCTGACTGGTTACTTCCTGCCTCCCTGGCTCTTCCAGACCTGAACTGCCTACCAGGGAAGGGTGAGCACACCCCTGCCCTCCACTGCCCACATCAGCTATCCCTGGGCGTGACCTTGGATCTGCTGGTTTCTAGTACCTATGCCCTTCCCTCTAGAAGCATTCCTGCCCCTCCCCTGGGTGTTCCATGCCCTGTTCTCACTCGGATGCCAACTTGACTCTCAGAGCACTTTGTTGATTAATCTTCAGATGTTTTTCCAAAGGGTTGCAATTTTTGGTAACAAAATAAGAAATGACAGTCTCCGGTAATAAATCTGCCAGGGCTTGGACAAAGTGGCCCACCTGAAGTCTCTGCTGGATGGTGACCTGTGTGTCCAAGACAGAGGACCACAGCAGCATGTGCATGTGACCAAAAGAACACCGGAATTGGAGGCAGACAGTTTGCTTTCTGGAACTAGATCTGTGACCTTGAGCAAGTCCCCTGAACTCTCTGAGCCTCAGTTTCCCTGCCTACCTTCAAAGGAGGCATTAAGAGGATTAAGATGCAATAAAGTCCCTGGGCTCTTTGAAAGTGTGCATTGCTATAACAATGTAAGGCATTATTATCTGTATTTTATACTTAGAGTCTTTTGCCCACATCACAGGCTGAGGATGGGGGCAGGGTGAGGGGGGTTGTTGCCCTTTTTTTTGAAAAACAAATAAATGTCTTTCAAAGGTTGACCTTGCAGACTTAAGTTACAAAGTGACAGTGAATCACTGACCACTCCCCCTCCGCCCCGTTGAATCAAGAGTTGGAGCAAAGTGACCCATTCAGCCTGCTGTGTTGGCACAGAAGCAAGACCATCAACCGGAGGGTTGGCCCCTGGACCCAGGTAGACCAGAGTTTCGTCCCTGTCTGGGTAAGCACTGTGCCCAGGGTCGGATGAATCTGCACCTCTCCACAGAGCAGGCCCTCCCTGCCAGGGTGAAATGCACAGGCCTGCTGCAGAGAATGGAGGGGAAGAGGCATATAGAGCCTCTCAAAGGAGACACTGGCCAGTGGGGACAGCACTTGCTCTGGAATCAGATGACATTTAATCCCAGCCATGCTGCTTACTAACACTGAGACCTCAGACACAGAACTTTGTTTCCCTGTCCCCTATACTTCTAAATGGAGATAATGATGCTTAATCCACAGGTTGATGTGACAGATGATGGAGAGGTGACAGCAGAAATGATAGAGGCGACAGTGATTTGGGTGGAGACGGAGGCGATGGCAGGAGGCAATGGTAGTGGTGTAGAGCTGGACTGGATTCCATAGAAGAAGAAGTTCTGTCCAAAATCACCAGGAAAAAGATTCAAGCTAAAAAGAGAACCTTGAACCTCAAGGGGCCTCGACCATAGCAAAGACCCCGAACAAA